TGAAGTAGAAAAACGCCTTCGCTGCCTGAAAAGCGAAAATAATTATAATTATCGATTGACCATAACCAAATAATATTTTGCAGAATTTAGGAAGGGGATTAGTGCACCTTCAGGAGTGCTTTTGTACGAGTACAGCCGGCGTTGGTGTTATCATTTTTTTTTTCGTCATTCATGGGCGCGGTAGATCGATTCGCGATTATATGCGTAGTCGCTTTATTCTTGCAGGGAGCTTACTCACGCCTTCACTTTTATTAACGCAAGCCTGACTTCAGAACTACACATCCTTTCTCCACCTTTGAGTATACAGTAAATAGCCCCGCATGTGTGTCGCTTCGCGTTTCCTACTGATGAAAAACCTTCGCTACGAAACCGCATAGAAATATGCGTTTGGAGAACCCCCCCCACGTACAGTTACGCTGCAACGTACATGTGATCCTTTTTGGGTTTACACCAGAAATAAATATATATGTTTTATTATATTTAATTACATGTATTTAACTGTACTCTTACTAAATAATAATTATTAAAAATATGAAAAATAATAATAATTAATATAAATAATAATAATAATAATAATAATTTATAATTTCAAAGGAGTTGGTGATAAGAAATATGTAATTATAGGAGCCGTCGCATCCCATTTCAACTGAAAGAAACACGGTCTAAAACATCGTCTCCCGAGTTTCGTATTTACGAGTTTGCGAATTACCTTCTATACAAAGCTAATCGCACTAGCAAAGCTGGCTTATGCCAGTTGTAAATCTGTTCGTTTTTATTGATTGATTAAGTGATTCCGACCCGCCAACTAAGTAAAGTTATTTGATCCTGAGTATAGTAGTGTGGTTCAAACAGGAGGTGGCGGCTAATCATTCCCCTCTATGATGGAGAGATTCTGCCTATGTTGGAATTTCGGGATTTTTTTTTCCAAATTCTTGGTATCTCTCCACCAGCAATGCCACCAAACCCAAGCCTGCCAAGCTCTAAACCCCCTACAGGATGTATCGACATGTGTGTAGAATTGTACATATAGGTCGTAAGTGTGTGGCCGTAAGTTAAGGGGAAAAGATCAGTACAATGAAACTGGAAGGAAAAGTCGCGAAGCTGGTCCCGTGACGCGTTGTTAGGATACTGCCTCATTAGCACATTTTCGCGCTGTGTTCGATCTAAAAAGCCTCGTAAAACTGTGGATCAGAGCAGACTGTATCTGAAATGCGTCCAACTACCCGGACAGCGGCTGAATTCGATCTAGTGAAGCAAATCCTGCCATCTTAGGGACTCTAACCTTCCGGTCGGAGCACTGTAGTAACATCAGTCGATGGCCTGGTCCACCTTCGCCGGTGTAAATCTGTCTCTCTCTGTTGTGTCCGTACGTAAAGATAGAGAACATTTTAGCCGGAGAGATAGATTTTCACCTGGCACATGAAAGACCGACCCAAGGTGGCTTTCCTAACGAGCTGCGAAAGGGGGGAGGCAAGATTGAAAGAAAGGGTGGCACGCAAAACAGGAGTAGTGCGCTTGTCCATTGCTTTTGATGCGAAACGCGGTTAGCTCAATATTCAACCTTTTCAACAATAACACTTGAACGATATTACAAAATAAATCGGTATGATACAACAATCAGGAAATTTTTTTTGGGAACAACGGGACAGCATCATTCTCAATAGTAACTGATTAATGTATTTCATCTGTTTATTACAAACAAACTTCTATGTCTAATAACATATGCAAAACTTGGAAGTAGAAATTATTACGAAATAAATCTGTGTAAACAAATACTAATTTCCTTTCTAATTGTTACTTTACATATCAACTTTTAAATTGAAAGCACGTTTAATTTGTGAAAAATTAAAGGAATTGTAAACAAAATTACAACTTTAGAAAAAAAACCAGCTTCCAACCTTGCTGACCCACTTAAAGATTCTTGGGGTGTCTATGTGAGGTTCTGCCATCTATACTTTTACCGTAACGTCTCCTACAGGCAGTTAGTATTGTTTGCACCTCATATTTCCCTACCTCTCCGATCAGCGTACACTTCACACAATTTTTCTTAAACAGGCGTGTAGAAATACACGGTATAAATTTCTCAGTTATTTAGAAGGCTAAATAATGATCATTTTTCTAATGAACATATTGTGGGAAATTCATTCAAAGAACGTAGAAAACGGAACGTTTCCTGCTGAACAACTGTGCATGTCTTTCAGTAAGGGGTGAATACCGCATATAATAACGCCATGCAATGTACCTGTTAAACTCACACGCAAAAGTTATCATTTTTATCCTTCTACTGACGTTTTTAATATTTGTTCTGAGATACTCTTTTGGACTGCTCAGCAGCATTCCTCCTCATAAAAATTTACAAGTCAGGGAAAGTTTAAGGGGTTTTGTAGGCCAAGTACTTACTCGCTGGGTTCGGTCAGGTAGGCCTTGGGGTTGTTCTGGCACAATTTGTTCAAGAAAGCATCATTCGAGTAACACCGTGTGCCCACAATAGATGAAGAATAGCTGATAGCATTGGCAAACAACATAACAGCTCTGTTATGACTGCAGGCGAGACTGTAGTCCAGTGCAGGAGATGTGTCGATATCTGTAAGGAAAAAAGAATTTTATTAAACCAGGGCGAAGTGAGTCGAATATTAAGTTCCAAGGACCTTTTTTATAATTTAACAACGCTTTTAGCATCTTATCACCAAAATACATGTTTATTCCAGAGCAATGTAACCACAACAATCCAAACAAGAGTGAAAAAATATTACCAAGTAAGAAATACTGAGAATAATTGATTCAATTACTAGGAGATTAAAGTTTGTAATAGATGCGAAGGATTCAAATTTCTTTAACATTGATCTCATTTTCTTTTTAATTCCATTTTGTCACAATAAATCATCTCACTAATAGTTGAATTCCTATCACATCATTTTCTTGACTTCGGCTGTATGAACGGAAAACGGTAGATACTGATATCAAATCAAATGTCAGGAGACTACAATTAGTAGTTTTAAGATATTTAAAAAATTAATTGATCCTTAGTGAAAAGTCTTTATAATTAAACAAAAAATCCTCTTAGTGATAAAAATATGTAAAATATGACATCTGTTTTACGGATGACATGATATATCCAAAGAATATGCCCGTATCCAGTTAAAAAAACTTATCAACTTTGACTTTCATATCTTGTAACAGATTTGAACGAATGTTAAAAATTATTTGATATACACAGTAATTAACTTTATTCATTATGAACTTTAAAACTTTCCTCTCAAATCATGATTATGTTATGACACTCATCTCTACTTGTTATGAACACTCATTTCTTTTTTTGTGCTTAAGTAATTTAATCAATGTGTTCAAATTACACACTTCTACAATTTTACACACTTCTACAAATCTGAGCAATAATCCGTAATTTTAATATGCCATCGTCATGTCCTTTCTCTTAAAATATATTATATGAAAAATAAATTCCTGTTTTAAATTGATTTGTGTTAGTAAGTGTAAGTAATTATAATGAGATTTTCTGTTATGACTCCACACGTCCCAAATTTCCCACACGTTCCCATGTAGTTTGTGGCACTATTTCTAATTATTCCACTGTTCCGAACATTATGCCATTGTTCCGAAAATTTTGACAGTTCAAAGAAAATGACACATACAGCATACTTTTAAGTGTTCTTTTTTTAATCAATGGAAGTAAATGGAAGAAAAATAATGAAGAGGGTTTTGAGAAAACTAGTGTTGCAATTTGCAGTATTATCCAACAAAATTGCGGGTAAACCTCCCTTTTTTTCTTTCGCTAAATTTTGTAACGATAACATTTTGCAATTTTTGAGAATTTAGGAAATTCACCGTGAATATCAACAAGACCAATCTTTACTGTGATACATATGAGAAGAAAATTTTAAGAAAAAATTCAAAGCAGTTTATGACAAAAATTGTTTTGGAATTGTTGCTATTTCAGTTCAAATTACGCAAAAATTAGTCAGATATTTAATCAACATACATGACTTTATTTCATGAATTCTTTCAACACTAAATCTAAATTTAAAAAACCTAATATTCTGGTTGCAGGAAGACCCCGAATAAATTATAACCATTAACAATATACAGGCATACAAAATATACAAACTAACAAAAATCTGGAATTTTAACGAAAATGAAAAAAATAACTTAAGAACCTTATTCGATATCCTAGGACAATAATTAAACAATAAATTTAGTCATGTTTTTCAAAATGGTTGTTAAGGCTCCAAATATTATATCTCTAATAATTAAAATAAAATTCAAACTCGTAGGGCCCCAAATTCGCTCATATCGATCGGGGAAAATCAAATTTTAAGAAAATCATCTAAACAGTTTGGACGCTCTTGTTGACAAAACATATGGACGGGTGTCTTCCGTAGATCGATTTTAGAGAATCAAGAAGTTTTCATGAAAAACACTAAAGCGCACAATTACAATTCATTCTTTTTTTCATAGGTAGGCGAGAAAATAATGAGTAAAACTGATAACAAAGATATTTTTAAAATACAATTTCGTAAACGTTTGAATATTCACATTTAAATCCAAAAATAATTCAATTACGATTCAAATCATTCATTACCTCCCCGGAGGAAATTTGGTTTTGATTTTAATTACTCTAATCACGTAGATAAAAAGAAAACCTAATATACCTCCGAAAGTTTTTACCTACGAGTATCGCTGAGGTGACTCTTCCATAGTAAAATATTTTTGAAAATGAAGACATCAGAAAATAGTTAAATATGTTTCTACACGTCTGCGTTTCTAAATACAAACTATTATAGATCAAGTTACGTAACGATCAAGAATATCGATTTCAAGATTTGAACCCAAATACACTTTTTATGGCGTCATCTGATATCGAAAATAGTTTTTAGCGATGTCAGTAGATGATACTTCCGTAGAAATATTAAGGGTTAACCGTCATACCCATGGTAAAGTGGCTACAGACCCGGACTTCCCTTCCTGCAACGCGTTCTACTCACCGAGTTTGTTGCAGCCGGGCTGCAGGCGGTGGCCGTTGTGAGGCATGAAGTCCACAGGGCCCGTCATCTCATTGGCGCCCAGTCGAGACCA